GTATAAATTCTATTTTCATCAGCCTGATTTGAGTCATAAACTGAACATTTTACCTGCAAAGGATTCATTAAGATGCTATTTTAAAATGTAATTGAGTTTGGGTTTTCGGTTTACATTTCCGGAAGGATTTCACAAAGTTGAGTTTTGTGAGTGTGGGTGTGTGTACATCTGTTTGTGTGTCTGGGAGCGTAGGTGTATAATACGTACCTGGTGGTGGTGGTGTGTGTGTGTGTGTGTGTGTGTGTGTGTGTGTGTGTGTGTGTGTGTGATATTTGGAGTGGTTGCCATGCTTACAGGACCCTCTGTATAAACTGTGGAGACAGAATTATAGATTTGGAAGGTCTCTCTCTGTAATGATGTTTGGACCTACTTCAGTCAAACTGTACTGTAAGTGCAATCGCTGTCATATTCAACTCTATGAATATATAGCAGTCTGTCAAAATGATTAAACTTTGAGTATTCCTTTAGAAGTGTTTGGCTCCACATTCGTACATGCCCAGTTTTTTGTAATTTAAACATTCCTAGATGTTTCTAATGTGTTGTGAATTTCACATTCAGTGCTATTTGTGGTTTTACAGGTGTTGAACTGAAGGGTTCCGTTTAAAAATGCATTTGCTTTAAAGAGGAAAAAAGGCATGCGTTCAAAAACATGTCACTGTTTCTAATTCAAAGCATACTCTATGTCATGGTAAAATGTTCTGATTTTTTTATGTCTTCATGACATGACTGCATGTTGCTAAAAAAAATAAGGTGTGTTTATTGGCTTCTCTTAGATCAGTTCCACACTGTGACTAGATATTTAATTTTCTAATGAACCCATGAGCTGTACTGTTTTGTGCAACATAGAAGAGCTTCCTCACACGGCTGCAGAGCCAAACCTTTCATGTGTAATCAAGACGAAACTCAATACAGTATATCTGCCAGCTCTTTGTTTTTAGTACAGTCATGTAAAAATGTTGGCAATGCAAGAAGTAAAGGCAGAGTTGAGCAGCTCTTACTTCTGTACTGTGTTTGTATCTACCCATGGAACTACTGAATGGCAGTTCTGATTATATTTTATGTTCACTGAGCACTGCATTTGTTTTTAAAATTGAATATAACAGCAGGTCGTGCAAAACATCTGAAAAACCAATCGGACTGAACTGAAACATTATCCAAATTTCCCCATGGGAGACCATTAATCTATTATTTTACCTAACAAATGTCACATCATTTTTAGATTCCTTAGCTGAGTGTGTTGCAGATATTTGGAGCATGCAATAATCATATGTTGTTGTGTGTGATGATTTATGAAGACATTAGGTTACAAGTGTTTATTTGTGCGGTTGCCATTTGCGCCTCTAAGTTTTTATTTTCTTCTAGTCTAGTCTTGTGGTGCACTTTTTACACTTATTCATTTTCTTGCCAAGAGTTAGACAAGAAGATTGACACCACTCTCATGTCTGTACGCTTAATATAAAGCTACTGCCAGCACCCAGTTAGCTTAGCTTAGCATAAAGACTGGAAACAGAGGGAAACAGCTAGCCTCACTCTGTCCAAAGGTTACAAAATCTGCATGCAAGCAATTCTAAAGCCCACTAATTAACGTGTTGTATCTTGTTTGTTTAATCTGTACAAAATGGAAGTGTAAAAATTACATGTTTTATTTTTTACAGGGAGTTATGTGCCGGACAATTTCTTGGCTGGGAGCAGTGACTTCCTAGAGTCTCCGTTAGTTGCCTGGCAACCTCACAGCACCCAGCTAAGAAATAGTAAACAAGATATGACATGTTAATTAGTGAGCTTTAGAGGTGCTCGTGGGTGGATTATGTTACCTTGGGGCAGAACCAAGCTAGCTGTTTCCAGTCTTTATGCTAAGCTAAGTACGACTCATGGCTCTAGCTTCATAATTACCGTACAGACATAAGAGTTGTACTGAGGTTTTCATCTAACTCCAGGCAATAAAGTAAATTAGCATAATTTCCAAAATGACGAACTGAGCCCTCGATCTTAAGTATTATTCCTTTTACGCAGTGGGCTACAATCAGTCGAGTAACATCACTGCAACATCAACGTAGCCCTCACTGTGCTGTACCAAAGTCAGTATTAGTGTGAAATGGTTCACTGGCTGACCCCAGGTAAGTTAAATTAAGATGCAAATCCATCATCCCCAACCACCACCTTATGCAATTTAAATGTCAAAATGTGTTTCTGATATCGACCTCAGACATCATGTTTACTTCATGATACGTGAGAAGAGTTGTCTTATCTCTACACAGAACAGCCAGAGGTTGTGGTAAGGGCTCAGAGTACAGTATGCTGTATTCACAGTGAGCTGGGAAGGTGGTACGGCCGGCCTCTCTCACCTCCCTATTCACTGTCCTCACTGCCTTTGTCAAACTACTACAGTCTCCCATGAAAAGGCTCTGACTTGGCCTAGATGTATGTGAAAAGGAACACAGGCAGGTTACATTCAACTTCTCAAAAAGACATAAAAAAAAACCCTGCTCTAATGTCTGTGTGAGTGTGTGTCTGTCTGTGTGTGTGTGTATGCAAACCCATTTCAAAAGCTGCACACAAAAACCCGAAACCCACAGAAAACAACAAAAAAAAACAAGCACTCGACAACACAATTGCGTTTCCCACAATGGTTTCTGAGTCTGGGAAATTAGAAAGTACAATGATGCACACAGCACACAATGGCCTTACAAATTGCTCATTTGTGTCTGAAAATACACCTCTTTTCTGGCGTTTCTGCCATCACTCTGCCAGGGAGACACACGGTGACAGATTATGCGTAGCTGTCATCTGCTGAGCGAGTAGAGTTCATATGAAATGTAACATCATTTTTCAGTTTCTTTATTGACTCTAGATACTGTTGTAGCACTGCTGCTTGCAGCTGGAGAGCAACAAGGGAACAGTCAGGAGTGAAGGGGGACGCAGTATTATACATACACATACAGTACTGTATGTATTTTACATTCCTTTTTCAGAACATTGCAGTACAGGCTTATGGAAACCTTAACAGTAATGCAATTTGGGTGCAATGCACATTCATTTTACAGGCATTTAATGTTTTTTTTCCTATTTATTCCTTAATATATTAAATGTTATATCACAATGTAAAATATATGCACAGTATTATATTTGGTAGGTGGACAGTTGGTCTGTCTTAGCAATAAAGAAAAATCATGTTGAAAGGGCTCCAAACTGATTTAAAGATCTCATTATTCAATAACAATAATCAATAACTATTAATTTAGATATTTATTATTGTCTCACAATAATGTGGTTGGATGCATCCATAAATTCCTGACTGGTCTTCAGGGCTGTGACAGTCACAATGTCACAGTGATGCCGCTGTGGATGTAAACCTTGTTTTTGATTAGTGTTAAAGACACCCATGTGTCCCTGGCAGAGCATTCACTCTGGTGCTCAGATTCTGGCACATAAAAACACGTAAATCCAGTCTTGATTTGATCTTGTAGCTGCAGTTGCAGGTTTTCAGGCTCCTCTGTGGGTTGCGTTACATTAATTTAACTAATGGTGGTCTTATGAAACCTTATCAAAGGCTTATATCAACACACACACACACACACACACACACACACACACACACACACACAAACACAAACACACACAAAATTTGGTGGTTAAGCTGAAAGATTTTTTTTTTCATTCTAAAATAGCTTTGATATTAAGTGTTAATTTTTCTTTTCATTTGTAACTGTCATGTTTTAACAACAGAACTTCAAAAACATGTTTTACCACAATGTGACAGTTAAGGCTTTGTTTCGTATTTTTTGGGCACTGTGGGCTTTCCTTATGTTATTATTTGAAGAAATGAAGATATTTAGTCATTCTGCTTCTTCCACACTGAACCACTGAAACTGAAACACTGATAAATGAGATTGGAAAGAAACTAAAGTGTGCACATTGTAGATCATCGTCCATTTGAAGTCAATAGGACAGTGGTAGAAGAAGTATTACATTTTTTACTGAAGGAAAAGAATAAAATTCTCAATTACAAGTAAAAGTCAATATTACTTTTTAAAAAAGTACATCAGCATCCTAGTATCAGAAGGAAAGGTACTCACTATGTGAGTGCTGTGTTTATCATGTATATAACTGTTATTATTACTGATGCATTCATGTACAACCAGCATGTTACTATTTTAAACCTGCAGCTAATTTTGAATAATTGTATCTACTTGCATGGTATCATCTAACAATGCATCATTTTATATGTAAAAGCTTAATAATCAGTCATTATCTGAAAGAAATGTAGTGGAGTAGGAGTAGAAAGAAGCATAAACCGGGAATACAGGAGTAAAGGACTTCCAAATGGTACTTAGGCTAATTACCGCACTTGAGCCAATGTACTCGCAATTGCATCAGATATACAAAAAGATATATCATTTAACTAGAAAATCAAACTGCCTGAACTCACCTGCTGCTCTTTGTCTGCATGTCTTCCTCTGTGACTAAGATTGATAATGGTGGAAATCAGGACGAGTTTTTTTTCCACCCGGATTCACCTCCTGAGTGGACATCGTGGAGATCAGGAAGGGTTCATGAGTTTGGCACATTCTGCTGAAGATGGGTAGCTACCATGTTACTATGTAATTTTGCTTTCGGTTTTTTGTTGCATTGCTCCAATCTTTTCTGCACTGCGCTGATATGCAAAAATCCCGACACATGCCACTTTTTTTTTTTTTTTTTTATATCTAAAATAAAAATTCAATCAACAACAGGGAATACAGGTGAAATTCACCGAGCAGCAGCATGAAGCACTTACACTAAAACCTTGTTTTGCGCCGACACTTAAATGCCTCAATGTTGTTTTTTCTTTTATGTCAAAGAAATAATGCTGATATAATTTCCCCTATAGTTCAAATCTAGTGGGGGGTCGGGGGGTGACGTCAGGCCCCATCAGGCTGACAGACCTCCTATTGGACCAGGGGAGGCTTTTTAAAGGAGCAGGCAGCAGCACACCGGAGGCTCGTTCTCCTCTTCAGACGCGCCGCACTCCTCTCCATCCTCTCCATCCTCTCCACACGGCAGCAGCAGCAGCAGCAGCAGCAGCAGCAGCGGAGCCGGACTCACAGCAGCCAGGTGAGCGCGGACATTCACAGCTTTTTATAAAAGAAATAGACCCAGGAAGAGCGGAGGTGAGGGGGGTTAGGAGGAGCAGAGGGGTCGTAGGAACGGAGCGCACGGTGTTAAAATATAGATGATAAACGGCAAGAGGGGGGATAGCCTGTAGAATTCAAACCACTTTGTATCAGTGAGATTTCATAGCATTAGTAGATGGCACTCACCTCTGATCCTCTGTTTTCTTCCTCGTGGCTGTAGGTGTGACGATGAGGAGGACACAGCGCGCACGGTGCCGACCTGACCTGCGAGATATCAACAGGTATGTTCCCACCGATCTCTACATAGACCTGATCTGCACCTTAGACTGACAAACGTGTCTCTCAAACACCTCTCTGAGCTAAAGCGTCCGACCCCAGCGCAGCCTTGTGTTAAGTGCCTGTATTGATCTGAAGGCGGCGGCGCCCCAATTAACAATAATGGCAGCGTAATTAGATTGGAAATAAAGTTCTTTATCTCGGGTCCCCTGCGGACAGAGCAGCGTGGTCCCCCGCCGCGGCGTTATACCTCCCGATGGACTATCAACCCCCCCATCAACCGTCACCTTCCCGACTCCCAGCCCGCTCGGGCTTCCTGGGGGTCAAACAACAACAGCTCAATGCTGAAACCCTTCGATTGAATCGATATCTGGCCTGTCTGCTGTAGGTCTGACACATGAGAGAGAGAGAGAGAGAGAGAGAGAGAGAGAGAGAGAGAGAGAGAGAGGAGGGAAGAGAAGCTTAATTTGTCTCTTTTTTTAAGTGTGAAACGATATCTGCATTGGTGAAAATGAAGTGCAGTTAAAAAAAAACCCAGCTCCCGCAGGGGCCTCCTTACCAGACTGCAGAATTTCACTTTTAATAGTTTGTTTCTTGTGTGGAGCCTTGTCCTTGAAATTAATCGGGTTTTTTTTCTTTGAAAACGCTGTGGTGAAATTAAAGCTTCTTATAAGCGTGAAAAGAGAGGCGGATGTGTGTTTAACCCAGGCAGAATAGAGACTTCAGCACCGGAGAGGCGGACAGCTCCGCACATGTGGCCAGATGCCCCCCAGCAAGGACATGAGAGGGAGAGGGAGCAGTTAGTGACACCGGCTGAATCTCAATTGCACACACAGGTCTGCTTTCACCTGGCACAGTCGCCTTGAGTTGTTATTTTACAGCAGACAGGTCCTCTGAAAGGGGTTTTTGTCTGAACGTCCTCAAAGCCTAAAGTTGTGTTGGAGCTGATAAAACGAAGCTCCCAAAGAACTACAGGAGACAAGTGATGACAGCATGAGAAGTGTGAAGGCCAAGATGTGTCATGCATATTATTCATTTTTGTCAAAGTCCCAAATTATTCTGGGTGAATCGCCTTGGGATGTGTCAGTGACAGGCAGCCTCCTTCTGGCAGGGTCTGAGGTGTCAAAATGGAAACTGGAGCTCAGCCAGGATTTCCTACTTACATACCCCCCAACCACCACCACCACCTCCACCCTTTACATGTGCCTGGGTGGCAGGGGAGGTGGCAATCTGAGGCTCACACACGGATACATACATACGCCCACATGTACACACACACATGCGCGCACCAAATGGTGTGACACAGCCCATACAATCTGTAGCCATGAGAGAAATTCAGTGCTAACAGGTGTTCAAACAGGCCGCTCGGTACATTCTTCCAATTATTGCAATTAGATGCTGCCTGGTTACCACTCCATAATGTACAACTGCTGTGGAGGAGTGTGTGTGTGTGTGTGTGTGTGTGTGTGTGTGTGTGAGAGAGAGAGAGAGAGAGAGGGAGAGGGAGAGAGAGGATGGCAGAGACAGACAGAAATAGAGGGGAAACAGCAGGAAAGCGTGATAGAGAGACAGACACAGAGCCCTCACTGCATTTGTGATGATGTCGCGATTGTTGCTATCTGTGGAGAATTATATACTATTGAGTGAACGCGCTGTGAATGCATAACTAATCCCTTTTTGCCCTGAGTCATTATCAGCTTTAGCAGATTGTCTAGAAACGGCAGGCTTTCTGCCTCTGTTGCAGACAACAGTGTTTAATAAAACACAAAAAACACAAAAAAAGCCGCCTCCCTCGGTGCAGCAGTGATCACAGCGGTTTACACAAACTGGTGGTTATCACTGGTTCTGTGCTGTGTGTGTTTGCATACAGACTGGAGTTTGTGAAAGTGTTGCTTACTTGAGTAAAATCCTATTGGTGATTATTTTCATTATCGATTATGCTGCTGATTACTTTCTTGGTTCTGCAAAACATTAGGAAAAACAGTGAGAGGGGCCATCGGAATATCCTAGAGCCCGAGCTGTCATCTTCAGTTCCAAACTCAAAGACATCCAGTTTCTGTTATATTAAACAAAGAAAAGCAGCAAACTCTCATATTTGAGAAGCTGCAACCATCACATTTTTGGCATTTTTGCTTGAAAGCAATTAATCGACAATCAATCCCTGTCTAGAGACTCACTGTTGCAGCTCTGTTAGTGTTGCCTTACACTGAAGCCATACGGTCTGGGTGCAAATATCCCATCCCTCTTTGGAGCAACAGAAAAAGAGAGATTGTAATGCACTTTCTGAGAATAAGACCAAAAGTGGTCGTGCTTATGTCATTCTACAGTTGGCAAGAAAAAAAGATCCTCAAAAGTAGAAATGGAGGAAACCAGAGAATGACAAGAAGTCTGTGATGGAGGACTCAGGTATTCCATCGTGACGAGGGAACATCTTGATTTGATGAGTGATTGAGCTGTCATACTTTACAAAGAGCAGAGGGCAATCACAGCGGCCGCAGTCTTATCAGTGAGCAAGAACAAGAAGGAAAGATAACAGGGTGCCATAAAGCGGGGCAGCAAAGAGTGACATCTGAGCAATATCAGTGTGTGTGTGTGTGTGTGTGTTCATGAGTGTGTGTGTGTGTGTGTGTGTGTGTGTGTGTGGTGTGTGCCATAGGTGAGCGTACACGTGTGTCATATTAAGCAGGAGATGTTTGTGGCAGCTGTCGGCCTTGTTTGAACAGCAATCACAATCAGCGGCAGCAGCAGCCAAGCGTGTGGTTGTGACAGCGCTGGTGGGAGACTCTCTGCCATCACTCCCCCGCTCTCCACCCTGCACCTTCTGCTCCTCCACTCCTCCACTCCTCCTCCTCCTCCTCCCGCACCCTCTGTTCCTCTCTGACCTCCCCTCGCTGCTTGCGCTCCCTGTCTGCCTCCTCCTCTCCTCCTGTTGCTTCTCCACTCCCCTCCAGCAAAAGTGACTGACATTGCATCAGTTCCACCTCAGTCGAGGCAGGATCTGGATTGATTCACCACCCTCCCGGCAAAGTTATTACAGCTTCAGATCTCTTTCAATCCAACTTCAAAAAGCCCTCTTTGTAAAGCCGAGAAAACAAGGTGTCCCTGTTCCTCTCGTGTGGCCTTGTGTAGCTCTTCTTCAATACGGGCCTAGAAAAAATATCAGAGTTTCCTCTGCTCTACCACTGCTTGTCTGCCTGTGATGAGAGAGGCACACCGTGCAGATGATCTGATTTCAGTGATTCTCTGTGGGGAACTGGGTGTGTCAGCAGTAGGGCTGCATGATATGGTAAAAACATCATATTGCAATTATTTTGAAAGATATGATTCAAGATTAGTGTGGGAATGATAATTTTTGCATCACATATTTAATTTTCACTGAAAAAACTATTTAAAATCATGTTCATGTGAAGTTTTTTGAATTCTGTACCAAACAAACATGTTGTATTACACCTGGAGAACAAGATTTGTAGGCCAGGGAATCAGCTCTTCAGTATTTTATTATAACACTGTTTGTCGCACATTTTACCTTTATCAAACAACTGCAGCTTCTGCAATTTGCATATTGCACTTGGCCATATTGTGATTTCTATATAATGAGATATGTCCCTGAACTTTTGAACTCCATTTTTTTTTGTCCTTGCAATATTATTTGTCTTAATTTCACATTATGAAATGAGTAAATCAGGTTGTACAACACAACAAACACAGTGAGATAAACATACAGAGATAAAACATTCATTAAAAAGTCATAAAGAAAAGAATGTGGCCCAACTGCGTCCATGTTATCAGTTCAAACAACAATAAAGCTGATTCCAGATAAGCGCATTTTTAACTAGGGGGACTAGTCAGTGGTAAATTTGCACTAATGAAAACACAGAGTAAAAAATATGTGCAGGGGAAACATATAAAGAAAAGTGAATGGGAATGTCAGGAAATATGGGAATCTGAAGCTTGAATACAGAATCTGCCTGTGTGTAACTCACTGTCTAAAATGTCACATTTTATCTCTGTAGTTTGGTGTACAAGATCTGAAGATTTATGTCAAATTGTCTATATACTCAACACTATTCTTTCCGCCACCGTGGCGTTCTACACCTGGTTCCCTTCCTCCACTCTTCCCCCTACTCCTACCCCAGCCCCCATCCTCACCCTCTTGTATCCCAGCTTCATTTCTCCATCTTCCTCCGTTGTTTCCCTTCCCCTCATCTGCTTAGGGAGCAGGCTAAAGCCATTGTTTGATGTGGCCTTTTCATTCGCTGGAGGAGGAGAGGGGGCAGGGATGGAGAGGTGAGGGAGGTGGTGGAGGTGTGTGTGTGTGTGTGGGGGGGTCACTTGAGGAGAAAGGAGAACAAATATTAGGGAAGTGGGGGGCGGGGTGAGCAACAGGCTTGTCAGGGTTTGTGGAGCTGCCTTGCAGTGATTAACTGACACAGTAAAAGCAAGGTGAGGTTTTATTTATTTATAATGTTGGAGTTTTAACAAGGAAGTCAAATATCAAATTGCAAATATTGACAAAATGGGATGCTGTGTTCTGGAGATTCTCTTTGAGGTTTAGTTGCCCCTGTTGCTATGAGGTTTGAACGCAGTAAGATGTCTTTTTATCTGGATTTCCTGTCGAAAGTTGTTTTGTTGCTACACTGTATATCTGCTTCACGGATTTCATGTCCTGTGCTCGACTTAGAGAAAAAACAGCACCCGCAGTGGAGAAATGTATATTTTACATATTTTCTGTGATGCATTGCATCGATCTTTTTGAATATCTGAATAAAAGCTGTAAAATCACTGTTCTATCGTATAATGAGCCCAAAATCAAGCAACATTATTTTTCATATATAAAATGTGACATATTGCACTATAGGATGTTAACAGAAAGTAGAATCCTACACTTAAATAAAATGTCAGAGGGTAAATGCAGTGGCAGTGCGGACTATATGGTAAATTGGGAGTGATATCGAACACAGTTACTGGCTAACAGATAGTAAGCAGCCTGCTACTCACAGACTTACAACCCGCGTTAACTTTGCTTGCTAACTAACGTCTCCTTTTTCCTTATTGTTCTTCTTATCTAACATATAGACATGAATGCATGGCTTGTCCTGTACGTTAGTTGGTTGAATAATCGTACACCAAGGAAAAGTGCTGGTACAGTACATTAAACACCTTTAAAACTTACCTGCAGGTGTAATGTAGGTACATTTAGATACTATGTGGTCCTTACTCTTTATTACCACTGCTAACACAACAGTGTTTGTCATAGCTCAAAATCACTTTGAGATTAGTTTTGACCAAAAAAGTCTATAGACTCTAGACCAATTGTAACTGGACTTAAAGTGGCAGTGTGTATTTTATTTTTCCTTTTTCCGTTTAGTGATTGTGGCTATCATTGCTAATGCTAACCACTATAACTTCTGTTGATTTTGTTTATGTAAAGAATAGAAATATGAACCTCATCTCTTCTGCATAAGAAACAGAGTTTCCAGACCGGATGTTTTGTGAACCAAATGCAGACGTTTTAATGAAGTGGGCACATGTTGAATCATTATCTCGTCACATTATTGTGTCAGTAGTTTGTTTTGTCGATAGTTACTTCAAAAAGAAATTTTTTGGCCCACAAAATAAAACTGAACCCGTGGAACCGGTTGAAATGATGGACAAATAAAAAAAATTAACATGTGAAGAAAAAAACATATTTACTGGACTCATCTAAAAGGTATTAATTGGACAAATCCTGCACTGACAGGTGGTAGAACATCCTCATTATGACTGGTTGCAGTGAACACCAGACACACTGTGCAAAATGAGACTGGAGTATTGAAACGGACTAACGAGCAGTAAACCGACAACTCATTTATCTGTTTGGAGTGAGTGCATGATGAGATGAAACCGTGGCTGGTTGACAGTTTCCACTGAGTCAGACTGTGCAGATCAGCAGGCTGGTAGCTGCGTGGATGGTCTGACATTTGATCCCCAGCTGTGGCACCTTTGCTGTTATTCTCCTGTTCTACGAGAAACACATGGCAAAGTGAACATTAGCGTAGACTGAATCTCAAATGAGGGTCGAAGTCACTCTCAGTGTTTGTTATTTTGATTTTCCGTGCTGAGAGAGATTTGTCTCTAGAAAGGCGAGTTGTTTAAGACGGAGCAGAAAGACGCACTGCTGTTTAGCTCGAGCTGCTCCGTCCTCATGAGGTTGTGAGTCATTGGTTCGCAGAATAGAGGATGAGGCTGTCTGTCTGTCTGTCTGTCTGTCTGTTCTCTGACAGACTATAACATCTGAGCTGTCAGGCTTGCCTCTCTGCACAATGATAAGAAAGGATTTATTTCAATAGCACTGACAAAGGACTGTCAGCATAGAGGAAAATACAGACTAATGCAAATAAAGGATCATGCTGGAAGGTCAGAGACTAGATCTGCAGCATACACATGAGTGCTTTTGTGTATTACTGTGTTGCTATGGTACAAACAACTGGCTACTTTCATTGTAAGTACAGGACATGCATGTGAGACCCTCAGTCGCTAAAAGGCACGAGTCCTAATCTAAACTAAACTGCCTTTTATTGATTTGTTTTGTTATTTTTATTTAATTTTTAATCTCTCAACTCTACCATTTATTTGGAGAAAATGATAAGCAGACCAGTGATATCATACACCTTAAAATTACATTTAATTTAAAATAGCTGTCCAGCGTGATAGAAAGTAGTTTCAGGATAACAATTAGAGGGGAAATATAATTAAAGATCTGCTGATTAACTTCCTCAGCCAGGGAGGGATTAAGAAACATTCATGTGTAATTATCTTGCATTGTAAATACTATACAACTATAGTAGGTCTGTTAATTGGTTCCAGTGCTTCATTAATACAATGTTTGTGCAGAACAGTGCAGGTTAACCTGTGCAGAGGGCTGCACAGGTGTATTATCTATACATGTGAAATTATTTGAATACAAACAGCACAGATTGTTGCTTCATTAACATTTCAATGCATCAGACGTGGCACACTGCACATGAGTACATATACCAGAACCATAGAGCCGAACAGCACTTACAGTTTCACACGTCTTCTATTCATATTCCCGTGTATCGGGCGGGAAAAGCTCACAGAGCAGCTCGCAGCATTGTTCATGTCTGATTGCATTTAAATGCTCACATTTCTATCAGGCTTTTCAGTCTATACAAAATGTAACAGTGCAGACAATTATGTATTTCAGCAGATTTTTACATCTATTTTTGTGTGAATGACTACCGCAGTTAACGATTCACATTTTTTCACTCCAAGGTCGATGCAGAGTTCTTTAGCGAGAGGCAAAGCGCTTCCTCGTCCACCTGCACACTGTGAGTAACTGTCAGCATGTCGGCCATCTGCCGCCTCGTTTTTCTCTACGCACAGCATTGTGTTGTTTCTCTGATTCGGCCTACGTGTTTGTGTTGCTGTTCATTTCTTTTCTGAATGTTGGACCGTTTTTTGCACGTTTCTCCATGTGTGAAGTCTGTTACGAGTCTGCATGCAGGTGTGAAGCTGGGCATGCTCTGAGGTGATGTGCTGCCTCGTTATGTGTACGACTTTATTGTATTTGCGTGATTTTGTGTTGTTTGTATGTTGTTTCTCACAGTGCATTTGCTTGTTTATTTACTGTGTGTGTGTGGCTGTAGGCGTGTGCAGCGTACTTCCTCAAGCATGATTTGTGTTTTCTAAGTTTGCGTGTGCGTCCTTGTGTGTCTCCGTATGTATGTGTGTTTATAATCCAAGGCCATTCAATAGCACCACATGGATCCATCCCATATCCTGGTCACCATGGTTACCGGGGCCACTTATCACAGAGGGTCCCGGCAGATCAAACAGGTGTGCATCCTGACGATGTCTCTCCTCGACGACTGTTGCTAGGAACCTTTGTTGCACACAACGCACAGGTGCTTGTCGCCGCCAGTGAAAACCAGCAGGAGCCCAAAAACGTTGTCTTGATGTCCCAGTCTGAACTGGTATGTGTGTGTGTGTGTGTGTGTGTGTGTGTGTGTGTGTGTGTGTGTGTGTGTGTGTGTGTGTGTGTGTGTGTCTGTGTGTGTGTGTGTAAGTGTGTGTTCTTGTACTTGTTGTCCTTGTCAGAAACAATTTAGTTCTTATGAAAGAGGATGTTTTTTGTAAAAAGAAAAAGAAAAAAAATAGGTCATTTTGTGGGTCATCACTATATAAAGTTGTTACTTCAGGACCTAGAGCAGATCTTAAGGTTTTCTCTTTAACTTTAAAGGGGAATTCCAGTAATTTAGTATTGCGGTTCCATAAAGTTGACGGACTTACATGAGACAGATTAAAAAAGACATTAGTGACAATTAGTGCAGCAGAGACTTACTGACTTTTGGACCCTAATTTGAGTGAAGCTTCAAAAACGCCAAATCCTACAATTCCCATAATGCATTCGTCCTTCCCTGCCTTCCCTAAACATCATCATCTTTTAAGTCCATGCAGTCAGTTTATAACGCAATCTCTCAAGTCTGACAGTCTGAAACAATAACCCTGATGACATCACCAGGGTTATTGTTTTTTTCAATATCTGCCACTGCTAATTGAGACACATAGAACTCCTGTGTCGGGAAGTTGAAATTTAGGGCTGAAATTCAAACTGCCTCCTACACAGCAATGACCTTTTTGGTCTCACCTACGATGAGCTCTACCACATCCGCCCCTCACTTGATACTCCTCCAATTTCAGATTCCTCCTGAAGCTGCAGTTGTGTAAAATGTCCTTTAAGATTTGAGTTCAGGGTTGGGGAAAGGATGTAGTCAATAGGAAGAGAAGCAAATGAAAGGACAGGGAACATTTGAGGGCCAGAGGAAAGCGCTTCAGGCCCAGCCAGAGAGCCAGAATAGAAAGGACTGTATCAAATCGTGAACCCACTGAGGGCTCTCTGACTCGCAGACCCCGCCAAGCGCACCACTCACCCCGCCCCCGTCCATCCATTTCTCTCCTTTTGCTTACCTCGCTCTCCCCCTGCGACTGTGTCAACGGTGCTGCCACCCTCACCCTTTCACCTCACACCCTGCTGTTCACCACAGCTCCTTCCGTCCCATCCCCCCTCCTCCCCCGGCCTCGGCACGCAGCACCTGTTCTCCTATTCATCCTCCTGCCCATCTCTCCATCCCCCCGGCGCCCACTTTAACCGTGGGTGCTCGTGCGGCGTCATGCCGTCGATAAGGCGCGTGCCCGCAATTTCTCCACATCCAATCAGGCTTGCGGATTTTGCTACACCTCCCCCACTTCTCCCCCACTATATCCTATCTAATAAACCTGAAAGGACAAACATAAGCTCCCCCCCAAAAATTGCCCTTCCCTCTTAAACCCCCTTTCCAGCTGACATTAACATACGTCTCATATGATTTAGAACAGAGCTACCTCTGACATTAAAATACATCTCCTGTATGCATTTCCCAATTTGGGTTCCTCTCCCTCCACTGGTAATATTTACAAGATAATTAATATTGACAGGAGGCGCTTGGGCTTGTTCAGTCAGCTGTACAGTCTACAAGTATCCTCATAAATCCATATTGACAAGTGGGCTGCAGTCTGAGCTGCCTTCCACCTGTTTGTGAGTATATTTCTGTGTACACAATTACACCATGCAGGCGGGGGCTGAACTTCAGCGTGCCCCGGGTGCATTTACACCTGCACTTGATCTGATTTTGTTCTATCTGATTATGATTTCATTAGGTTGTAGTTTGGCGCCAGGTGCGTAAGGGGGTCTGGAGCAAAATGTGATCTTTTAATAAAGGATTTCTCTGTCGTTCCTCACTCCCCGAACCGCTTTCTTCCTTCATGTTCTCCACCTCTCTCACCTTTTCCATATGTCGCTCATTTCAGCTGTAATCCCTACATAGCACCTTTCCTTTCTCTCGCTATCACTCCCCCATTTCTCTCCTCTACCTCGCACCTCTCTTACACCACTTCCCTCACCTCTCCTCCCTCAACAAGGCACCCCTCCTCCTCTCCTCTGTTCTTACCACTCGCGTTCCTTCCCCTAACCCAATAACCTTGCCTCTCGAGAGCTCCCCTCGCCTCTCCACCTCACCTTCCCTGCTGCTCTTCCAGCAACAGCCCACCCCCTCCCCCTCCTCCACTTCCTTCCCACTGCCCGCCGCCCCCACGTCTCTGGCTGCTTCTCCCCCTGCGGCGAGCCCTCGTCTCAGGCCGCCGTGTACAGGATGCTCCCTCGGTGAGAGGTCAGTGGTCTGGCTGTTTTCTCTGTTCTCCCCCTCAGCGATTCTCCAACCATGACTGGCGATCACAGAGTCTTTCATTCACTCTTGAGTAGGCTGCCAAAGGGTTAAATATTTATTTATATGTCCAGTGTTTTTTTTTAAGGATACATTTCCACTCCCAGATTATTTCAGACAACTACGCTCGGTGCTCTGTTTCACATTCGGTTGTGTGTTTGATCCCTTCAGAGACACAGAGGGAATTTATAGCCATTCTGACATGGATTTATAGCGTTTTTAAAAATGAATACAGCCTTTTCATATTAACTGTGAACCCTTGTAATTACCACAAAACAAGACTAAATGATGATAGCACACTAGTGGCACTGTTAGTGCTATTGGTTCTCATAATGAAGACCTTGTTACTGAATGTGGCATCATCACAAAAAGGATGTAATGATGTTTACTTCTCTTTATATCTCTAATAAACCAAATTGTTTGTAGACTAACTGTGTTCAGTGTATGATAGTAACAAATAGATAGAATATATGGCATTTTACATGACAAATTACTTTATTTATGACTGACTATCATCACTGCCCTACAAAGTCTAAACATAGTAACTAGCACAATGACTTTTCGACACCTGTTTTACAATATGAAAATTATTTTTTTAACAAAAAACACCAAACTGCAGTTATTGTGACAGTGATGGGAATTTAGCCTCTTTCTCAGCTCCGCAGTTCCAGCCGGCTCACTGTAAACACGAAGCCTTTACTAAATGTCCAGAATACTACAATTTAACAGTATGTTTGATAAAAAAAAAAAAGTTAAAACATCATATATTTTTATTTACATTGAACTATGTTTTGTCTGTTGCCAAATGGCGCAACATACAAAAGTCTAACCACGGTTGGGTTTTAATGTTATTACCAAAGTAAAATTTTAAAAAGTAAAGTAAAAGGAATGTATTTAACAAAGAACGTCATAGGATCACCCAGTTGTATTATTTGTCAAAAGGATAAAGAAAAACATTAATCTCCGGTGAGAGCTGGCTGCCATCGTTCACAAAAAACATCAGCAGCGACTACACAGCTAGCTAGCGGGCGAGAGTTTTAGCTAAAGCGAATTTACCCACTTCCTGTTTTCTGCTGTTGAATTGAAAAAATGTGGATGCTCCAATGACTTAGTAATTGAGGTTGATATACTATATAAATAAGAAAGTAGCCCAATCTAACCATAATAGGGATAAACATAAAACAAGATAAACTACATCCTAGCTAGCCTAGCTTAGTAACTGCTAACAAGAAAGAAGAACATATTTTGTCTGTAGATACTGCGTTTCCCTGTGCCCTTCACGTTGTCTAATAAAGGGAAGAAGGCTACCTAACCTTTTTTTTTTTTAGGTTTTATATGAAAAGGCGTCAAATTAAGATTTTACATCAAGAATATTAAAACTTAAAATCCTCTTTTTCCTAAACTTTGATGTTTCTGCAGTTAGTAAGTTCTGTTCATTTGTAAGGCACTGTAACAGCCAAGTAATGGGTTAATAACATAGGGCCATGAAGGACACTTTTAAAGCGGGTAATTACAGACTTATTCACATTGGTGAGAAACTGTTTGTTTTTCGTCACAAATTAGCAAACGAAAAGAACAAATTCTTTACCAGTGTATTCTTAAAATTCAGATAAATGAGTATTAGGAATATGCTATTTGATTTTAAAAGGGATTTATTGTAACATTGGAATAGGTGGCATGAGTTGATGATACTTGAGGGAGAAATGTACTTCCTTTTTAGTTCATTAAATAGGGCTAATTAATTTGTGAACCAATTTGAGCACTGTTTTCAGTTGTAAAGAGATGTTATCATTTATTATTTTCATCCCAGCTGAGGAGGACCTGTAGCAACAAAAAAAGGACTTAATTGCTGAACCCATTAATTTAACATTCATTCGTTTAAATGTACTTCTGCGAAATTAATCACAATATGAATTATCTTCAGAATTGAAAATCATAATGTATGCTGGTGGCCAGAGGACAGAGAAATCTGTTCTGTCACAGAGCGAATAATGAAAATGTGTCATCTTGGATGAGGAAGGCAGACGCACACTGCTCTTCAGAGAATTCCATTTTCTAATTCTCTGACAGACGCAGAGGGGGAGCAGAACACATGTACCTCCCCCTCACATACACCAATTACCGCAATGAGCAAATGAAAGGTTGTGTCCCATCAGGGCCGCCGTAGGGGGTAGAGAGAGAGAGGGGAATGTAGCGAGAGATGGGGGAGCATAATTGCCCCCCACCCTACCTCCCCTCCACATACACGCTCACATACATTACCAGCAATCATCCTCTGCTGTCACCGTTGTTGATAATCCCAGAGTTGTCTGTTCAGCGTTACAGCAGATTGGCTCTCCCTGCTCGCATTCGCTCTCCTTGTTGTTGTTTTTTTTACTTTTTATTTTCCTGTTTCGCCCTGGATTTCTTGTCTCCATTTCTCCATCATGCCATTTTACCCAGTTCACAGATCCCCCCCCCCCCCCCCCCTCCTCCTCATCAGCTGTCACCGCGCTCAGTGACATTTTCACTGACTTCGTTTTTACAATAATAGCAGTCAAAATATGTGGAAAGAGTCTGGTGGGTCAATCAGGATTATTTGCAGCTTCACAACATCCAAATGAAAGACAATGACTGACTGACTGGTTCTTAAATAACAAATTAACCAACTAATAGTGCTTTTAATGCAGCTATT